CTCGCGACCCCTCGGAAAGGGTCTCTTGTCCTCTCGCGAGTCCTCTCCAATCAAGTCCGACTGTACCCCGCCCCTGCCCCCTTCCCCTCCTCCCCGCCTCTGCTCCCTCCTCCACCTCCTCCCTCCTCCCATCCGTTCCCTCCTCCCCGCCTCTGCCTCATCCCTTCCTCCCCGCCTCTGCTGCCTTCCCCTCCCTCTCCCACCCTTGGGCCCGCCGCTCGCATTGTTCCCCCCCCGCCGCCGTTGCGGGCCCCCCCTCGCCGCCCTTCCCTCCCGATCTTCCCCGATGGGCGAAACCTTGCCTCCCCGGGGTGCCCCTCTGGTCGGCAGCCGCTGGTTTCGCCCGGCGCTGGTTTCGCCCGGGCTGGTTTCGCCCGACGTTGGTTTCGCCTGGGCTGGTTACGCCCGGCTGGATTCGCCCGGCTGCGTTCGCTCGGTTGCTTTTGCCCGGCTGCTGGAGGAGGTGCAGGAGGTGGAGGAGAAGGAGGAGGAGGAGGAGGAGGGCGGAGGAGGAGGAGGAGGAGAATGACGAGGATGATGGGGGGGGATGAGGAGGAGGAGAGGAAGAGGAGGAGGAGGAGGAGGAGGGAGGAGGAGGAGGAGGAGGAGGAGGAGGAGGACGGGGCAGGACGAGAAGGAGGAGGAGGAGGAGGTGGGGAAGGTGGGGGAGGAGGAGGTGGAGGTGGAGGTGGTGGAGGAGGTGGCTGAGGGAGGGCAGGAAGGAGGGAGGAGGGAAAAGGGTTAGGGCCGCCGGACCCGGCCCGACCCGACCCGCCCGTTAGGGACCGCCCGACCCGATCCGACCTGACTTGCCCGTTAGGGTCCGCCCGACCCGACCCGACCGTTAGGGCTCTCGCGTGCCCACTCGATTATGCACCACACTTGAATGTCCCGCCCGCCCGACCCGACCCGCCCGTTGGGGACCGCCCGCCCGTCCCGACCCGACCCGCCCGTTAGGGTCCGCCCGACCCGAACCGACCCGACCGTTAGGGCTCTCGCGTGCCCACTCGATTATGCACCACACTTGAATGTCCCGCCCACCCGACCCGACCCGCCCGCTAGGGACCGCCTGACCCGACCCGACCCGCCCGTTAGGGTCCGCCGACCCGACCCGACCCGACCGTTAGGGCTCTCGCGTGCCCGATATGACCACACTTGAATGTCCCGCTCCCGACCCGACCGCCGTTAGGGACCGCCCGCCCGACCTCAACCCGACCCGCCCATAGGGTTCCGACCCGACCCGACCCGACCGTTAGGGCTCTCGCGTGCCCACTCGATATGCACCACACTTGAATGTCCAGCCGCCCGACCCGACGCCCGTTAGGGACCGCCCGCCCGTCCCAACCCGACCCGCCCGTTAGGGTCCGCCCGACCCGACCCGACCAGGTTGTTAGGGCTCTCGCCTCGAGAACCCTCGGGGTCTCTCGCATGCCTCTGCCCGCAGCAGACGGGGAGGAGGAGGAGGAGGAGGAGGAGGAGGAGGAGGAGGAGGAGGAGGACGACGACGACGAGGAGGGGGAGGAGGAGGAGGAGGAGGAGGAGGAGGAGGAGGAGGAGGGGGACGAGGAGGTCAGGAGAGGACGAGGACGAGGACGAGGACGAGGAAGGAGGAGGAGGAGGAGGAGGAGGAGGAGGAGGGGCAGGAGGGAGGAGGAGGAGGAGGAGGAGGAGGAGGAGGAGGAGTAGTGGAGGAGGAGGAGGAGTGAGGAGGGGGAGGAGGAGTGAGGAGGGGGAGGAGGACGACGGCGACGTCGACGACGACAACGACGGCGGCGGCAGCGGACTCGGCGAGACCAGCCCCGGCGAAACAAGCGGGGCGAAACCAGCGGGGCGAAACCAGCGCCAGCGAAACCAGCGTCGGGCGAAACCAGCGCCGGCGAAACCAGCGTCGGGCGAAACCAGCGTCGGGCAAAACCAGCCCCGGCGAAACCAGCCCCGGCGAAACCAGCCCGTGCCCTCTGTCGGGTCGGGCGAAAGGGGGGGATAGGGAAAGGGGGGGTACGAAATTTGCTGCATGCAGCTGGTTTCGGCGCCGCCGTCAGGCCCATTCCTCGATACATGGGCGCCTCCCGGCGATGGGCGCCTCCCGGCGATGGGAGGCGCCGGGAAAATCAGCTACGTGAGCTGATTCTCAAACCCCCCTTTTGCTATCCCCCCCTTTCACCCGGCCCGACTCTGGTCGGAGGAGGAGGGGAGGAGGAGGAAGAGGGAGGAGGGGTAGGAGGTAGGGAGGAGAAGGGAGAAGGAGGAGGAGGTAGGAGGCGGAGGAGGAGGAGGGAGGAGGAGTAGGAGGAGGAGGAGCAGGAGGAGGAGGAGGAGGAGGAGCAGGAGAGAGGAGGTGGTGGAGAGGAGGAGGAGGAGGAGGAGGAGGAAGAGGAGGAGGAGGAGGAGGAGGAGGAGTGAGGAGGAGGAGGAGGAGGAGGAGGGAGGGGGAGAGGGAGGGGGCGGGGGAGGGACGAAGAGGTGGAGGAGAATTGGATGAGGACTGGAGAAGTTGGAGGAGGAGGAGGAGGAGGAGGACTGGAGGACTGGAGGATGAGGAGGAGGAGGAGGATTGGAGGATTGGAGGATTGGAGGATTTGTGAAGGAAGAGGCGGAGGAGGAGGAGGAGGAGTAGGAGGAGGAGGCGGAGGCGGAGGAGCGGGCGGAGGCGGGCTCCTCCTCCTCCTCCTCCGGGGGCCCCGCCCCGGGGACGTGCTTTTCATCCCGTGCCGTTTTTTGACGGTTTTGGGGCCCGGCGAGGCAAAGACAGGACAAACACAGAAGTCCGCGATGGTTTTCTTCACCACGCCTGCCTGTCGGGGATCATCGTTGAACCGCCGACCGTAGGCACCAGTGTCGGTGCTGGGGTCCATCAGCGGGGCAAGTCCTCCTCGTGGCGAGCCGTCGCGACCCAGCGAGCCCAGCGGGGCAGGTCCTCCTCGTGGCGAGCCCTCGCGACCCAGCGAGCCCCCGGTCCCCTAAGAGCTCGACAACCTCCAAGCCACTCGCGGCGATCGCGCGTAATACATCCAGGTGAATCTGGATACATCTTAGTAAATCCAGAGATAGCCAGATACGCATTGAGAAGTCGTGGAAGTTCCATCGTGAGGCGAGGGGCAGCAGAAGTCGTTGGGCCGTCCACGACACGCAGGAGCCCGTGCCCACGCTGCGCAGCATACAGTTGGGAGGGGGGCATGTGCGCTGCACTCGCGGGCGTGGGCGATGATTTCTGCAGTGCAGCGTGAGTTTGGACGTCCATTTGGGCTGTGGCGGCGAAGGCCCGCCTACGGGGATTCTTAGGCGCTAGGTTTGGTAATGCTCGGGCAGAATCTCGGGCACGGTTTCGGCCGCTACACCCCTTGGTAGAGACGAGGTTGCGTGACACTCGTCCTTCAGAGCCCCGTCGTTGAACCGCAGGCCGCGACCCTCAGAGCCCTCGCGACCAGGTGGAGGAGGAGGAGGGAGGTGGGAGGAGAAATATTGGAGGAGGATCAGAGGAGGAAGGAGGAGGAGGAGGAGGGATGGGGGAGGAGGAGGATTGGAGGAGCATCAGAGGAGGAGGATTGGAGGAGGATCAGTGGAGGAGAGAGGAGGACGAGGAGGAGGAGGAGAGGAGGAGGAGGAGGAGGAGGAGGAGGATTGGAGGAGGAGGAGGAAGAGGAGGAGGAGCAGGAGGAGGAGGCATGAGGAGGAGGAGGAGTATTGGGGGAGGACTAGAGGAGGACTGGAAGTGGACTGGAGGGAGGACTAGAGGAGGAGGATCGGCGCAGGCGCCAGTGTCGGCGCTGCGCAGCATGCTGCCGCAGGGGCTCCGCCCCGCAGCCACAGCGCAGCGGCACGGCGGGGCGCCGCCGCGGCGCGCCGCCTCGCAGCGCGCCGGCGGCGCCTGCGCGGAGGGGCGCGGCGACCTCGGCGCCGGCCGCGGCGACTCCGAGTAAGGAACGGTAACGCTGCAGGTCTTTAGTCTCCGAGCGCGTTCCTTTACTCGCAGGGTGCCTACTCGCATACGTCTTTGAAAAACACGTGTGTGTCTCGATGCAGCAGATCGTAGATCCCCCGAGGCGGATCCAGGCCATTTGCGAGTAGTTACCTTGGGAGTGGTGGAGCGAGCCTGTCTAGTTAGTTTTGGTCCCCCCCTCCCTTGTTCACTCGGTGGTATATAGGACAGGTCCTGAAACATCGTTCTCCTCCTCCTGCCTCCTCCTCCTCCTGTCCTCCTCCTCCTCCTCCCTCCTCCTCCTTTTCCTCCTCCTCCTCCTCCTCATTCTCCTCCTCCTCCTCCTCCTCCTCCTCCTCCTCCTCCTCCTCCTCCACTGTTGCCGCGGAACATAGTTACCCCCTATCGGTGGCAGCCCAGTTTTTCAGCAAGGCCGCCGAATATCAATATGTTCCCCCTATTGTGGCGGGGGTCTAAAAACCTTTCAGAGTAGCCCGTGCTACCGTTCCCTCGATTTCGCCTTTGGGGGCCTCCTGGGAGGCCCTCGTCGCCACCGCTGGATTTGCTTTGAAATGCTGGTCAGAACGCACTCTTGGAGAGGTCCAGGGAGTAGCGGTATCGGTACCTCTTGATTTCCCAGCGACGCCGACGCCGTCGACGGCGGCGATGACCGCGGCGACGGCGGCGGCGTCGCCGACGGACCTCGGCGCCAGCACCGTCGGTGGCGCGGGGAATGGCGATGGCGGCGACGCCGACGGCGACGACGGACCCCGATATCCAGCGTGCGGAACAAATATGAAGAGGGAGATTTTTCGCCGTGTTCGGCCTCTCCCTCGCCGGGCGCTGGAACCCTCGATGAACGACTTGGGACGAGAATCCGGCGCTGGGGAAGAAGGGTGGGGGCATCTGGGGGCCCCGTCTCGAAAACATCAAGACGTTGGATATCTAGGGCGGGGTTGTCCCTCTCATCCGAGCGTTGCTACTCTTCCATTGGGCGTTTGCGCTCAGTTCCGGGGCCCCAGAAGATCTCTGATCGATCTGGCCCGAACGATGCCGCAGAAAAGTTGGGCCTAGGGCTCCAGTCGTGGTTTGCACGATGTTGCATTCAATGTCGTCGCGCTGGATCTCAGGGGACCTCGATGCCGAAGGCGAAGACGGGCGCGGCGCGGGCGCCAGGGCGCCTGCAGCATCAGAGGCGGGGCGGCCTCGGTGAAAGCAAGGAGGTTACATCCTCGCGGCCACATACAGCTTTGCACGGTTAGGACGGGGGGCACGGCGGGGGTCACGACAGGGGGCCACGATCGGAAAATCGGAACAGGGATCAGGGTCGTGACACGGGTAGGGGTAGGAATACAGCATGTGGGTTAACAGGGAGAGGGATGGTGGGATGGTGGGATAGGGACAGGGATGGGGACGGTGACGTAGGACAGGGCTGGGATGAAAGCGATCAGGATAGGGATGAGGACTGCAACGGGAGGAACGCGAGGCAACGGTAGGCCACGGGAGGCCACGGGAGGCAATGGGAGGCATTGGGGAACATTGTCGCCCTCTTCGGTTCCAGATCAGGCCGTTCACCAACTAGGCCTTAGACATGTGCATATTTATATACATACATACACACAGCCATGTATATATATATATGTATATACAGATATATTGAATCATAGAAAGAGAAAAAGAGAGAGAGAAAGAGAGAGAGAGAGAAACAAAAATTATCCCGGCAAAGCAACCTAACAGCGATGTGTAGGAGCATATCTGGAAGCATTCCCCTTACGATTCAGATGAGAATACAGTTGTAGAATTCTGCTGTTCTCGCAGTCGTAGTCGCATTCGCGATGACAGTCGCAGTGGCAACAGTCACAGTCACAGCCTCAGCCTCAGCCTCACAGCCTCAGCCTCAGCCTCAGCCTCAGCCTCAGCCTCAGCCTCAGCCTCAGCCTCAGCCTCAGCCTCAGCCTCAGCCTCAGCCTCAGCCTGCTTCAGCCTCAGCTCAGTCTGCCTTCAGCCTCGGCCTCAGCATCAGCCTGCCTCAGCCTCAGCCTGCATCAGCCTCAGCCTCAGCCTCAGCCTGCCTCAGCATCAGCCTGCCTCAGCCTCAGCCTCAGCCTGCCTCAGCCTCAGCCTCAGCCTGCTTCAGCCTCAGCCTCAGTCTGCCTTCAGCCTCGCCTCAGCCTCAGCCTGCCTCAGCCTCAGCCTGCTCAGCCTCAGCCTCAGCCTCAGCCTGCCTCAGCATTCAAAATGTGGCCCGGGAATGGAGTTCTGGGAACTCGAAGACCATGAAGTGGCCTACAGTTGGCTCCGGGCATTCAAAATCATGCCCAGGAATGGAGTTCTGGGAACTCGAAGAGCATGAAGTGGCCTACAGTTGGCTCCGGGCATCCAAAATGTGGCCCGGGAATGGAGTTCTGGGAACTCGAAGAGCACGAAGTGGCCTACAGTTGGCTCCGGGCATCCAAAATGTGGCCCGGGAATGGAGTTCTGGGAAGTCGAAGAGCACGAAGTGGCCTACAGTTGGCTCCGGGCATTCAAAATGTGGCCCGGGAGTGAAGTTCTGGGAGCGCCAAGAGCGATTTTGCGAGGATGTCCGAAGCGATTTCGGCTTCGGCGGCAGCCGTCCCGGGTCCCGCCCCGACCCCCCTGAGGAGTCATGATGCTCTTTTTTGACACCACTAGAAACCTATCAGTCTTCGCTGTTACGTAAAAAGACAGAGAGAGTGACTGAGTGAGTGAGTGAATGAGTGAGAGGGAGAAAGAGAGAGAGAGAGAGAGAAGAAAAAGAGGGCGTATATAAAGAGAGAGAGAGAGAGGGAACAACAAGCAACAACAACAACAACAACAACAACAACAACAACATCAACAACAACTACTACTACTACTACTACTACTACTACAGAACAAACAACAATATCATCATCAACAACAATCAGTTTATCATTATGCGCCATGCTTCCACATGTCACATGCATCCTTCTGGATACCGCACCCCATCATGGATGGTTTGTCTGGCATGCGGGGCCCGGTATTCCTTCGCCCAGATATCCCGCCCAAGAAAGCATGGCCACCACCTTTCCCGAGGAACTTCGACATCCACAGCTCGGACGGCACATCGCCATCGCAATCGCCTTGCGAACGCCCCGCATTTCGGAGGATGAGGAAGAGGACGAGGAGGGGAGGGAAGATGAGGGGGAGGAAGAGGGGGAGGAGGAGGAGGAGGGGGAGGAAGGATATCAGTTGTAGTAGCAGTACCTCCGAGGACGAGGTGGTTCTCACTCCTCGTTCGAAATTGCCACGCCACCATCCTGCGGCCTCGGCGTGCGACCCTGGACGTTCACGCCCCCAGGCGCTGCCGTTCCATGCTCGCATCTCCCACCTCCCCCCCCCCCCCCGCCCTTTCAAGGAATCCTTGAAGTCAACCCGTCGACCCTCGATCCTTGGAGCCCCTGGAAGTCGTGAGTCATCCGCCCACTGCCCTCTCCTCCTCCACATTATCGACGCTACCGGAAAATAATTGTCGTTTACAAATCAACGTTCGACGGGGACTCTCGGAAGCCCCCCCGGAGGCGATGCCGAAACGAGGGCCCCGCTCTCGCGTAAAAGGTGGGGACGCATCAAACGGGAGCGACGAGTGGGGGGCGGAAGGGGGTGGGGGGGAGGCAGGTGGAGGGAGGAGACAAGGGGGGCGAAAAGGGGAAGGGAGGAGGGAGGAGGAGGGAAGAAAGAGGGACAGAGGAGGGAGGAGGGAGAAAAGGAGAAGGCAGAGGCAGGAAGAGGGGGGAAGAGAGAGAGGGGGGAGGAAGGGAGGGGGAGGAGGCGGGGGAAGAGGGGGAGGAGGAACAGGTGGAGGAAGAGGAGGAAAAGGGGGAGGAGGAGGAGAAGGAGGAGGAAGATGAGGAGGGAGGACGAGGAGGAAGAGGAGGAGAGGAGGGAGGAGGAGGAGGAGAGGAGGAGGGGTGAGGGGGGGGAGGAGGAGGACGGGGAGAGGGACAGGGAGGAGACGGGGGGGCGGAGGAGGAGGGAGGAAAGAGGGACGGGGGGGTGAGGAGGGGGGAAGGAGAAGACGAGGGGGCGGAGGAAGGAGGAGGGACGAAGAAGAGGGAGGGGGAGGAGGGGGGAGGAGAAGAGGAACGAGGAGGAGGAGGAGGAGGAGGAGGAGGAGGAGAAGGAGGAGGAGGAGAAGAGGGCGCCAGCCCAGCGTCAAATGGGAGGACGTCTCGTGTAGGAACGCTGGTTTTGTCGGGACGGGGGGTGTCGGCGGCGAGCGACCGCACCACCTTGAATAAACACGTGAGGATGTCTCGAGCGGGGGCGTCGCTGTTGCTGGGGGGCGGCGCCGATGGGGGAAAGAGTAGCACGCCTGTCCAAGGTAAAACGGGAGGAAGTCTCAAGCGGGAGCGCTGGTTTTGTGGAGGCGGCTGCTTTCGGTTGCGAGCAAGAGCGCCGGCCCTGAGTAAAATAGGAGGAAGTCTCGAACGGGAGCGTTGTTGTTGTTGGGGGGCCGGTTTTGGCGGCCCCCCAAACCGCTTGAGAGCGAGTCCCATTATCAATGGAAATGCAGCCGGCGCCTCGGCGAGAGCGCCAAGGCGCCTTGAAGGGGTCCAACAAAAATTATTGTTCAGTAATTAGCATTCAACATCAACAAAAACAACAACTGTTCCAGACAAGTTGCTTAGGGAACATAGCTTTGGGTGCTCTTCAGTTCGAGGCTCTTGCTGCGCATTTGGGGTGGTTTTGCAGTCGTTTTTTTCGGTTTCTGTGCGCATGTGTGCGTGAGGGCCCCAGGAGGCCAAGGGGCCCCCAAGGGCCCGCGGAGGCTTTGCATAGGGGACATGATCGGATTTTTGGAGGTTGGCCGTAACTATTCATACATGTGTAAATATAGATGTGTGCATGCATATATATATATATATATATACACACCTACATATACATATATACATAAACATACATACATGTTCCCATACACACCTCCCAGAGGGAGTAGAGTTCAGATGCGATTGATGCGTTCGCGCCGCCGTTCGCGATTTGTTCTGGCCGTTTCGCTAGGGACATCTTCGGAATTCTGAAAACCGGTGGCACCCCTCACACAGATCGTGGCGTCAGGGTCTAAAAACACGTTGGAATTTCAACATTCTAACCTAACACCTTCAAAAACACAAAGTAATATCAATGGTTTTGACTTCGATTCTCAGAGAATGGCGGTTTCGCCTGAGAGACATCCTCCAAAAATCGAGCCCCGACATACCTTCTCAGACGCACCTCCCCAAGGGAGTAGAGCTCATAGGCGATTAGTGCGTACGCGCCGCGTTCGCGATTCCTCTGGCCGCTTCGCTAGGGACATCCTCGAAATTCTGAAAATCGGTGGCACCCCTTACACAGATCGTGACGTCAGGGTCCAAAACACACATGGGAATTTCAACATTCGAAAATAAAACCTTCAAACACACATAGTAATTTCAGTGTTGTTTGACCCCGATTCTCAGAGAATGCCGGTTTCGCCTGAGAGACATCCTCCAAAAATCGAGCCCCGACGTACCTTCTCATACGCACCTCCCCGAGGCAGTAGAGCTCAGAGGTGATTTGTGCGTACGCGCCGCGTTCGCGATTTCTCTGGCCGCTTCGCTAGGGACATCCTCGAAATTCTGAAAATCGGAGGCACCCTTTACACAGATCGTGACGTCAGGGTCCAAAACACACATGGGAATTTCAACATTCTAACATAAAATCTTCAAACACACATCGTAATTTCAATGTCTTTGATTTTTCTCAGAGAATGGCGGTTTCGCCTGAGACAGAAACTCCTCTCGAGGATGTCATTCAGAACGCCGTTTGTCAGAGAATGGCGGTTTCGCCTGAGATGCCACTTTCGCTTGAGACATCCTCGCAATTCTTGGTTCCGAGATGCGCTGAGCTGAGGTGGTCAGGCCACTTTCGCCTGAGACATCCTCGCAACGCTGACCTCGGAGAGGCATTGCCTGCGTCGATCCTCCTGCTCGATCCCCAATCCTTTAGGGGGGGCTCTTACTCGATCTTAGATTCTTCTGCGTTCACCTCCTGCCTCTTCCCCTTCCCTTCGGCACGCCCTGGCGGCGCCGCCCCAGCTTCCCCTTCTCCATCTTCGATCCCGCCGTCATTGTGTTTTCCTGCTTCAAGCGCCCTTTCAGTGTTTTTGTTATAAGCCTGGGCACAGACGTGCCACTTGTATGTGTGTATATATGTATATATGTGTGTGTGTGTGTTGTGCGTGCGTGTGTGATTAGATGCACTATCCAATGGTTTTCGGCCTATCCCGCCACCGTGTTTGGGTTGTGGATCGGAGTCCTCAGGTATGATTCTTGGAGTCTTTTCAGGGGCCTTTTGGCGGCAGTTTGGGAGCTTCTTGGGGGCCTCAGGGGAGCCTCTTCGGAGTCGGTTGGGGGTCTCTTAGGGCTTCCTGGGAACCTCGTGGGGCCTAGTAGGGCCTCTTAAAGCCTTCTGGGGGACTCCCAGGGCCGAGAGCTCGAAATGTCCATTCGGGACCCCCTATTGGAGCCGTCATGGGGTCCTCTTGTCCCGTTTTGGGGCTCTGCGGGCGTCCACAAGGCTCAGGCGACACATTCCGGCACCGCCCCGAACCGCTCGGGAAATTAGGAGTCCGGGCCCGTAAGAAGCTTTACGAACCAAACGCCTTCGACCTCGCAGAGCTGCATGAGCCTTGGGGCAGTCCTCCACGTGCCGAAGGCACGGTGGCGGATATATGTTAGCCAGCCTGGACGTCAAACAGTGTGCTCTAGCATACTACGTGGTTCCACACGGTGCAATCAAACGTGGTGCAATGTATGTGGGGCACTCTTTATGTGGTGTTACTGACTAGTGCTCCGCGCGCGATTACCTCCCGTGCTCGTGCCAACATCTTGCGGCGGCGGTTACGATGGCTGCTTAGCGTTGACTGGCGCATCGCCGCAGCCGCGCTTGCGCGCGCAGGCTCGCGCGCAGAGCGACCATCTAGTCTGGCGCGACCGACGCGGCCGCGGTGGCGCTGGCCGCTGGGCACTTCCCAGCGCGTCTTGCACGCCGCGTTGACGCTCGGGCACGTCAGTGCGAGTCGGTACCTCGAGCGGGCTCGGTACCATGGCGACGTCGACAATGGCAGACATGATGATGATAGTAGCGATGATGGTGACTACTTGTCGGCTGCAAAGGTTTCGCATGGTATTATTTGACAGGGACCGTGGCCCCAACACACACGCAAGGGTGTTCGAACGATGCCGACATGCGCGCGCGAGAGGCACGTTAGGTCGCAGGTGTTTAATTGTATAAGCACAGACGCTGGTGTTGTAAAGAATTCGCAACGGCGCGCGCAGACTGATTTGAAAAATCAGTTCGCAAAGCAAGTTGATATATGTGTTTGGGACAGTCGAATTTAAAATCCGTATGGAAGATGTTTGGAAATTTCCGGCGTGCGCGCGCCACGGTGCGCGCGTGTGTGATTCGCCCCATCTGTTGCATAGGAATGTGGGAAATTGGCAAGGTTGATAACCACATGCGCGCGCATGGTATTCGCATGGATGGCGTGGGGTGGGGTCGATACCAGCTTGTCTGGGATGGTAGGAGCGCATGTGGAAAATGAAGTCAACGAGGAGGCATAACCATATGCAAGGTACAAGCACGCGAGAGTGAACTCTTAAGTTTGGCATTGATGGGAGGGTGAATTCTTCTTTCTGCAAAAGAAAAAAAAAACGACTTGGCGCAGTCCAAAACGTGCAGCGTCGCAGAGCAAGGCAAAGCAATGTCAAGCAATGCCATGCAACGGAAAGAAATACAATTCAATGCGGTTCCGTGCACTGAATGCAATTCAATGTAAAGCGGGCGACGACGAGGTAGCGTGCGGCGACGGGGCGGCGACGGCCGCCACGTGGCGGCCAGAGCGGCCCGCCCTGCAGCCTCCAAAGCACCCCCCCCACGAGGCCCAGATAGCCCCAGGGGCTCCGAGATGGAGGGACAAGCTGGGGACACCTTGGGCCAGGGACACCGTTGGCAGGTGTCGAATTATTGACTGCTGGATGGATCCACGAAGCTTCATCCAGCAGATTGGCACAGACGAGACGACACTCTGGTTCCACTCTGCATCCAGAGTTCGTGCAAGTTTCCAGAGTACGAGCTTCGTATGGTGTTACACAGCTCTGCGTGCTGTTCGCAGCTGAACGCCTGAACAGCCCGCAGCGCCGCATGTGGGTGCCGTCGCTGGGATGTCCAATCTCCTTCTCTTCTTCCAACGAATCATGCATAGACTCCTATTCGGCGGCGAGCGAGGGGGGGAAATGAGAAGGAGAAGGCCTTCTCAGAAGGCGGCGGAACTTCTCAGAAGCCCTCGCGCCTTCTGAGAAGTGTTTTTCGGTTTCGGGGAAGGCCCCGAAAACTTCTCAGAAGGCCAGGGGATTTCCGAGCCTTCTGAGAAGGCCCTTTCTTCTCGCTTCCCCCCCATCGCTCGCCGCCGATCTACAGCATCAAGTTTGGGCTTCCCACCGTGGGCTTCCGACCGTGGGAGACGCTCGCCCTGGGGCCGCTGGCGATCTCACACGCGCCCAGGTTCGGCCGCGGGGGCAGAAAAGCTCCCGGCGCCGCAGCTGGGCAGACACCTCCTGCAGCGGGGCACCCCACGCTGGAAGTCTTCGTTTACGCCGCGCCGTGTCGGGGCTCGGTTCGATTCCTCCGATTCGATCCGATTTCGATGGCGTCCAATTCCAATTCGATTCGACTTCGGATTCCGACTTGGACGCCGATTCCTTAAGAGACAGATTGTCCTGTCGAGTTCCTCCGATTCGACTTCTCCCGACTCGGCCGTCGATTTCCTCCGATCCGATCCATTTCGATCGCCGGTCCGACTCATCGATTCGATTCTGGGCTCCCCTGCCTTGTCCGCTGACCAAGCCTACCCCAACCCTTGGAATCGCCAGAAATAGCGATTCAGGGGAGGAAAAAACATCCGGACCCGATAACTGGCGTGTACTAAAAACGGCCCTGGGTTTTCGCTGAACAACCCTGCCTGTTCGATTCCTTCTCTGGGTGCGTTTGCGAAACGACTTCGCGTGTCGGGGTGATACATTATGAGGGAGATTGTCTGCTCTCTGGCGACGGTCGGGCGCAGGGACCCTGCACAGAAGGACACCCCCCGGCAGCATGGCGCCCGAGGGGCCGCACCCACCGAGAGACCCGGGCGCAGATGGCCGCCTCTTGGAGCCACGCCGTGGCGGGCTCCCTGAGATCGGGCGCTGCGAACAGCCTGCACCGTGAGAAGTCACAGCGCCGGACATGTTCGCGTCGTGAAGTAGAGGAGGGGGAGGAGGAGGAGGAGGAGGAGGAGGAGGAGGAGGAGGAGGAGGAGGACATGGTGGAGGTTTTTCGTCGTTCTCGGCCTCGGAGGGGCCTCGCCAGGCCCCGGGACCGTCCGAAAAGGATTCATGAGAGGAAAAGCTCGTCCCTGGGAAGGGGTCGGGACTTCCAGGGATACCCCGCACGGAAGAGGCCAGGACGTCGCCTGTCTGGCACCAGAGCCCTGGACCCCATCATTTGCGCGGCATCTTCAGGATTTCTTCGAGCCCCATCGATCTGTGATGGCCCCGGGGCCCGAGGTTCGGTGCAGACGCCCAGCGGGAAGAGAGGCGGCAGCGCCTGACCTCCACCCTGGTATCGCTCGGACGTGTGCACTGTCTCTCAGCGGGGACTGAAGGAGCATCCTGCATCATCCTGCGAAAAAACGATGCACGAATCCGAACAAAAGCACAGGGAATGGACGTCCGAGCGGCGGGGAGCCGCGCCCCTGCGAGGAGCCCGAGTGGCTGGCCGACGCGGCCGGCTTCGCGCCCGCCACCTCGTCGACCTCCCCGCCGGCGGGGCGGGAGCCGAGCGGCGGGGGCGGCCAGGGAGGGGCGTGGTGCCGTGGAGGGGGGGCTACAGTCAACCATGATAGCAAGGATGGGGCAATTTTCCAAATCCTCATTTTCCTCCCTCCTCCCTTCTCCTCCTCCCTCATCCCTTCTCTCTCTTCCTCTCTTCCTCTCTCCTCCTCCTCCTCCTCCTCCGCCTCCTCCTCCTCATCCTCCTCCTCCCTTTTCCGTTTCCCCCTTCTGTATTCGGCATCCTTCGGCATTCTGCTGCGCTCCGCACAGAAAACGCCAACATGGCGTTCCAAGGCCCTTGCACCCTCACCGCGTATCCTTCCTATCCTGGTCGAGTGTACTCGGGCGATCGCCAGCATGGATTCAGGGAGCGTGGATCAGCGGCGGGTCCCGCTTCCCTGGGAGAGCGCGCATTTCCGCCGCCGAGCGAGGCGGCACCAGCCGCGCTCTGTAGGGGGCCACATGCGAACCCTACCCCTACCCGCCACGATTTCTGAAGGGGAGGATGGGGTTTACCCCCCTCAGAAATCGTCGGGGGTAGGGGTAGGGTTCGCACGTGGCCCCCCATTCTGGGGAGGGCGCGTCCCCCGAAGCATGGATCTGGCGGCCACGCGCCAGCTCCACGGATCGCCACTCCATGCTTCTGCGCGCCGCCGAGGTATTTTACGGTGGGGGCGTTCGTTGAGGAATGTGCCCAGCGGGCCTCGGACCCTGGGGGAGATCCTTTTGTCCAAGGAGGGCGGCGGTGATACCCACGGCAAGGCTTATGATATTCCAGCCTACCTTAGCCTTGGACACCAGAAAGAATCTCGAGCGCCAGGAAAAAACACCGAATCTCGATGGTTTTCACGTGTCAGGCACTGGGAGGCACCCGTCCGACACTATTTCGATATTGCTTCGACACCCGTTCGACATTTTTTCCAGGCGATCGAAATTAGTTCTGGAATGCGTTCCGTAAGTACGATGGGAGCTACGTAGGGCAAAGCTTAAGTCGGGCCTGTCCCTCTACAGGAGGAATAATCAAACATAGTCAAACAAGACTGGGGATTATTGTTTTACTTTGCTTGAATATGTGTGAGTATGTGTTGGATATGTTCGTATGTGTTGTCCAACATCCGCCTCTAGGGGGACACGCCCGACCTAAGGCTACGCCTCTTAGGGTGATCCTCCAGCTTCCAGACCTCGGATTCCTTATGCAATAGTTCCTCATCCAACGCCCTCACCGTATCATGGCCAGGTCCATGATGTCTCCCCGAATCTCATGGCTCCTCTTCGTATTTCAATGCGTTCCCTGGCCCACCCCTGGGACGCGCACATGTTTTGGGCCGTGATTTGCGATAGTAAACCACAGAAGTTTCCTCTCGTCTTGACAGCGCCCACGATCGCCGAGCAGCGTTCAAACGCGCTCAGATTGCGACCAATAGCGCCCACTAGCGCCATGTAAGGAAGATGTATCGTGTCCGCTTTGCGCGCCATTGGGACGGGCAAAAGCTTCCGTGAGTTGCTTTCTAAGTTCTTTCGCACCCTTGGGCCGCGCACATGTTTGGAACCATGATTGCCAGGAGAGGAAAATCACACGGACACAAGTAATCGTCGATTCCCAGGAAAATGTGGTGAACTATGGGAAGTGAGCGGGAAAACGGAAACCCAGAAGATATGAGGAAATATGGGGAATCTTGGGATTTGTGTCTATTTCTGTGTCTGTTTGTCTGTCTGTCTGTCTGTCTGTCTGTCTGTCTGTCTGTGTCTGTGTGTGTCTGTGTGTCTTGTCTGTGTGTGTCTGTGTGTCTGTCTGTGTGTCTGTCTGTCTGTCTGTCTGTCTGTCTGTCTGTCTGTCGGTGCGCGCGCGCGTGCGCGTGCGCGTGCGCGTGCGCGTGCGCGTGCGCGTGCGCGTGCGCGTGCGCGTGCGCGTGCGCGTGCGCGTGCGCGCGCGCGTTCGCGCGCGCGTGCGCGCGTGCGCGCGCGCGTGCGTGCGTGCGTGCGTGCGCGCGTGCGTGCGTGTGTGTGTGTGTG